CGCGATTATAGACATCATTGTATTATGCTCAACCTGAACCGACACTTCGTAGGGGGCATTGGTTACCTCTATGCTCGCCTCGGGACCCACCATCGCTTTCGCCATGGCGTTGAACGCGAGGCTGAGCGACACAGGAGCACTATGCGGGAACAGACGATGTCTAACCCAGACGATCGTTTCTTGGTCGAAGGTGGCTGCCGCTATAAGACGGCGCTTCATTTCGTATATCCTCGCGGGCGTTCCTTGCACCTGTGGGCCGATGTAGTCTTTTACATTCTGGCTAATTCTTTCGACGGTGCAGTGCTGCTGGGCCAACTCTTGGTAGGCATTGGCTATATCCCGCACAGGGCGAGTGTCCGATGTTGCTTGCAATATTACTTTGACGTCCTCACCATTATAATCGGCCAGAGAAAGAGGACGTCTAACCAGATGTGCGCTCCCCGATGGCCTACGAATAAGAACTACAACGAAGAAGACTATGGGCAGCAGCAGCATAACCAGAAAAATCCATTTCTTATCATATGTGTAGAGCAGCTTCTTCAGCAGCATGGCCTCCCACTGGCCCAGGTAGCGCAGGAAACGGTTCGGATGACGGCTCTGCTCTTGGCCCTTGCTCTGCCTCTGACTCTGCCTCTGCTGAACCGATCCGCCACCGCCGCTAGTGCGAGCCCCAAGATCTTCCGCGCCGTGCGACATAAATATTTCTGAAAGACTGGTGGAGCTAAGACCGAATCCCACAACATCCAGCTGCTCCTTCTGTTGCTCCAAGTCGTTGAAGAGTGACCCAAAAGATCCCAAAAAGCGGTGCGGCAGTCGATAGGACACGTCTGATCCAATGTTGCTATGAGGCCGCGTGTTGGGCACGTGGGCGGCTATCAGTTGGGTCAACCTGGACACATTGCAGTTGGGTCCCTTCTCGCAGCTGAGCAGATAGCTGGTCTCGTTCTGTTTCTTGAGGAACGCCAATGTGCCCAGGCAACGGAGCCGGCCATCGCTTATGATGGCAATGCGGTCGGCCAATACCTCGCCCTCGTCCATTTGGTGGGTGGTGAGCAGAACAGTGCGTCCCTGCTTCTCATCCAGCAGCAGCTTCCAAAGTTCCAGCCGCGAGTTGGGATCCAGACCCGAGCTGGGCTCGTCGCAGAACAGAACCTTGACGTTGCCGCACAGGGCACAGGCCAACGCAAGCCGACGCTGTGTCCCCCCAGAGAGACGCCGAGCCGCGGTGTTGGCCTTTTCCTTAAGGCTTAGCTTCTGCAAGTACTTTTCCACCTCCTGTTTGACCGCTGCCCCCTTGAGACCCCTGAGCCGGCTGTAGAATCGAAGGTGACTGGCCACACTCAAACCAGCAAAGAAGACGCTTCTCTGCGGACAAATGCCCAAGGATCGACGGGCCTGGAGGTGTTCGGTTTGTATGTCGTAGCCATTGATGATCGCCGTGCCGGAGCTGGGTTGAATGGTGCCCGTCAACATTTGTATGGTCGTGGTCTTGCCAGCTCCATTGTGTCCCAGGAGCACCGTGATCTCGTTCTCAAACAAATCGAATGTGAGGCCAGCGACCACCTGTCGTTCGCCAAAGCTTTTGCTGAGATTTTTTATTTGTACACCAGGGGTTTTGCCTTTGGCGCTGGCATCCACGAACTTGGAGGTCTTACGCTCTGGAGACTTATCCGCAGAAGGTCGCTCCTCGTCGGTGGGTTGCACCAGGAACAACCCGGGCGGGGATAATGATACTACTCGTCGTATGTTCTTGGTCGGACACCAGAAGCGCTTGGTGCACGGGAAATTCCATGGCTGTGGCATGCCAAACTCCCCTGGCCTCACCCGCTCCATGTACAGGCAGATGAGGATCGAGATCAGGCTAAACAGTATCATGAGAAACAGTATCGCACCAACGCTTATGCTGTCTCGGGCCCATGACGTCTGAAAGAGATTGCTCCACTGCAGGCCCAAACCGGCTTGTTCCCATGCGGCAATTCGATTCATGACCATGTTCATGGCTGACACGACGAAAATGCTGCACAGAATGTTCAACAGTGTCCCAGTATTGTCATTGTCCGTGACAAAATTGGGAACACAGCTGGCTATGAACAGAAGTATGGCAATGAGGCCACACCAATTGCTGCGAGTGCAGAAGGAGCTGACCAGGAAGCCGAAACATATGAAAGAGTGACTGCACACAAGCAGATATAACAGAAAGACAGACGAGTCGGTATATGGGAGAACGGGCATGTCGGCAAATGGCGACCCCTCCTCACCGGGTATACCGATCATCGTCCAAAATATAGTAATAGCTAGCGATATTATGAATAGAACTATCATGGACTTGACATACCAGGCCAGCCATTGGAGAGAGTTGCTTACGTCGGAGATGTTCAGCATATCCTTCAGCTGAAGCTCCTTTTCCTCGACAATGCTCTGCAAAATGAAACAGTTAAAGAACTGCTAAAAGAACAAGACTTAGTCTTACCTTAACATCCATTGCGAACGGGCATAAAAAGGCAAACATTATAAATACACCAAAATAGTAGGAAAATGGTATATTAATATTCTTATCATATAGTGACTCCAGTTTTGGTCGAATCACAGTATGGGTTGAATTCTTTTTCTGCAGGTACTGTAAGCTGAGTTCCGTCTGAAGAAAAAGAAACCCACTATATATGTAATAAAATCCTCTTTCGTTCTGCGATAGCTGGAGATTTATCTTAAAATTGCCTTCTTTGGTGACGGGAAACCGAAGAGCAAACCGGAATCTATGCGGCAATTCGGATATATCAGACCACTCGTCGGGAAACTCTATGCCGAACGCCCCTTTGTACGAAATATTTTTTGTAAGCGCTTCCTCCAAGGCCTTGGCATCGACAAAGCCCTGAACATGGACCGCATATTCGTCTGATTCAAATTCAGGAAAAGATACCCCTTTAAAAAGCAACTCAAGTATTGCATTATGCGGCGAGTAGCATAAGATCATTGGGCTAAGATAATTGGGCACACAATGAACACTATATTATATAATTTTATTTAACTTACTATGGTAGACGGGGTACAAATCCGTAGTTTGGTTCGTAATTTATGATGGTCACTAATAGGGTTTTCCCTAGTAAAAAGGGCATAAGCGGAATTGCAAAAGATAATATTATTAAACAAGCCAACTGGCATTTGCGCCCCAAGAACACACATAGATTTTTCCACAATATCAATAGAAGCTTCCTTGGGCAGGACAACACCTCCGGCACTTGCTCTTCATTTGTCATGTTTTATATATGTAACGCAGTCTGAAATCAGTCAGTGTTGTGGTAGGAAATATATAAGCCACTCGTAAATGGAATCCTTTTTGGAGGTACCAGATCCCAGTGATGTATTCAGTAATGCAAGATTTAATACATTATATAATATCGTAACAAATTAAATGAGACTGAGACTAATGTTTTCCACAAATCGACGAATAAATTGGCAGAACTAACTAGATTTCAACAAAAAGTAATCGTACGAACACTCGTATGTAAATTCTATTTTAGGGATAAGGGGATAAGTTGTAGATCCTTGTGTCATGCACACAGTCAGTCGTAGAGGACAGACTGACTTTTCAGAGAATTAGGTTTTAAAGCCAATCAATCCTATAATCAATACTAGATCTGGTATTTATATAATTTGTATTTTGGTATGCTATGCTTCGAATGTGGTGTGTCCGTGAAATTGATTTGTTGATAACAACTAACTAGAAATGTCTAAACCTTTGTTTCGTGGAAGAAAAGCTTCGCCCAAAGAAGTTTCTCTTTTATTTGCACAGATGATCTTTACAATAAAGATAACCTTTGAAAAATTTAGAATCCTTCATCCTCTACATCCGCCGTCGCAGTTGCATCCAAAAATATTACAGGGGCCTTTCCCACAAAAATTTGATGCGATGGTTCCATCATCGCATACGAGTTTCCCGCGCAGTAGGTCGGCGTGCCCGTAGCAGCACGTAAGCCTGGGTTTTTTTTCGCCTCTACAGCCGCCGTCACAATTACATCCAAAGATATTACACTTGCCATATGCGCAATAGCTTCCTTTGCCATGCGAACCATCCGAGCAACGCCCATTACTCCTGGCATGGCTGCAGTAGGCTGTCACACCGCCAATGAGAACTAAAAGCAGTAGTACAGTCAAAGAATTCATAGTCTGATCTATGCGATTGCGATGGTTTTACTATTGGGTTGGATGATACTATACTTTCGCAAATCGTTTTGAAATCTACTATATATAGGTTTTATCTAATTTGGTGTGTTACGCTTCTAATGTGTAGATTTGTGGTAAAAGTGGATGTGTGTAACGCAGAGAAGAAAACGTTTCCGACCCCATAAAGCATATATATTCTTCATCAGCATCAATATCCGAGTCGATATAGCCATGTCCGTCTGTCCGTCTCGATGATCTCTTAGATCTCAGAGACAATAAGAGTTAGGGCAACCAAATTTGGTTTCCAGACTCAAGTGATATCCACTGCTACAAGTGTATTTCAAAATTTCGCCCGCCCCCTTCCGCCCCACAAAGGACGAAAATCTGTGGCAGGCACAATTTTAAAGATACGATAAAACTGAAGAAAACAGTTTTCAGTTGCTTCCCCACCTCCTCCAGCCAGAGACCACGCTAGTCATTGTCTTTCTCGCTCGCACACTCTGCCTCGTTCAGTGCGCGAGTGCCCGCTAGCGGAGGAGATGTAGAATATACATTGTGGATGTATTTGTAGATAACATGCCCAAAAATGTGTATATACTGACTGAGTACGGGTATAAGAAGAGTCGCGTCCCCAGAAGCGACTCACACGTTCCTTCTTGTTATTTATGCCTTTGATTCTTTCATCCGTGTAATGTTAGTGGAAGGAGTTATGACTACAGCAGTGACATTTCGCCTTCTGCTATCTCTTAGGCAACTTAGGCATAACACCTTAAACTCTTCGAGTACTGGCTAAAAAAAATTAAAGTGCGGATACACTAACAAAATGGCAGAGACGCTCCTCAAAAAAAGAACTCCGAAAGCACTTTATTTTAGTCGAATTCCCTTATGACAGCCAGCTCGCTGTCTGCCAGCCTTCACTCGCTATATTTCTACAGGGCTATGTCTTGGTTACCCTAGTGGCGCGGCCATTATCTTTATCAGATTTCGGAGAATCCTTTTTGGTGGGACGACTCTTCGATTGCCTGTTTTGATTCTTTTGTTGTTTCTTTTCGTTCGCTTTCTTCTTGGCAATGTCCAGAAATACATCTTCCAGCGACGGCTGCGTCAGAGAGTAGTCCACCACCTTCCAAGGGCTGCGATTTCTCTCAACGTATGAGAACACCCTCGACCATCTCATTTTGGCAATGGGTATGTGGTAAGTGAGCCTGCCACCAAACTCTTCCCTGAATGAGCAGTCATTACGAGTGAGGTGAGTATGTTTGGCTGGTCTGAAATGCAACTTACTCTAGCGATGCCGTGGGAAAGTCCGATTCCATTTGATTCTTTACCTTCAGTACAGTGTACGCCATGCTGTGTGGGTGGGTGGGTTTCGTGGGGTTATCTCTTTACGATCTGGAGGTCGAATACACTTTAAATGGGCTGGTCTCACCTTTCCAGACTTCCGGTATCCACATGTAACTTGAGCACCAGACACTGGGCAAACTTATTCTTGATGCGCTGCTGGGATCCCAGGCAATGAATTTGCCCATCCACCATAATGGCCAACTGCGTGCAGAGGGCCTCCACCTCCTCCATGCTATGAGAGCTGAGCAGCACCGCCTTCCCCTTGTCCCGCAGCGAGGAGAGGACATTCCACACATGGCGCCGGGAGGCCGGATCGACCCCAGAACTGGGCTCGTCCAGACAAATGAGCGATGAGCCCTCACCGGCCACCGCTGCGTTTAACTTTCGCTTAGTGCCGCCACTGTAGTCCTTGACCTTTTTGTCGAGGTGCGTAAAAAAGCCAAAGTCGGTGGCCAGCTTTTCCGAGACTTTTTTGAGGAGATTCCGGCGTGTGCCGCGCAGCAAAAGGAAAATCCTGAGTGTTTGACGGCCTGTGCAGAAGTCGAAGAGCGTGTCGTGCTGGGGACAGTAGCCGATCTGCCGCCTCGCTGCCGTGGGGCGGAATTTAATGCTGCAGCCTCTGACGTGAATACTCCCCATCGTCATGGCAATGTCGCCCACAATCATCTTGAAGGTAGTCGTTTTACCGGCCCCGTTGGCACCCAGCAGACCAAAGCACACGCCCCTGCAGTAAATTGGGGATTGGCTTTTAAGTAATTGTTATTGCTGCACTTGAATGACTACTCACGGCTGGACAGCGAAGGATATTCCACGTACGGCAGCCATGCAGCAGTATCTCTTTGAGACCCGGCTCAGGACTAAAGCATGCTCCTTGCGATCCTCGCTCGACATTTTACCTATCCTTTCGGCTGCAGCAGCCACGTCTTCATCGTTGATTGTTGCAATTGGTTTACAACAAAAACAAGCAATATATTTTAGGCCATACCACAACGTGGTACTGTATTCGCCGAAAATCAGCCACAACAAGTAGCAAATACCAGAAATAAGCATAAACCTCACCTCCACCCAATCCAGAATGTCTGTAAGGAAAAAAACAAACATATAAATATATATTTTTAAATTGTTACCCATGTTATTCGGGTTTTTTTTAATGAAGTAGCTAATTCCTAAAAAATGTAAAATGTCACCTATTTTAGTATGTTGTGCAATTTACCGAAAAACTATAAGTTACTTTTTGTATACCCTTATAATATTAAAGTTTTGGTGTAAGTGGATGTGTGGTACAGCTAAATGTCCACCCTTCCCGATGAGCGCCTAGATCTCAGAGACTATATATGCTTGAGAAAGCAAGTCTTGTATGCAGACTCCTTTTATATCCGAACTTCGCGCTGCCCTCGCAAAAGACGAAAATCTGTGTACATCCTCAATTGTAAAGGTATGAGAAACCCGAAAATCGTAAAAAATAACCATATCTCCTGTATTGTCGAATCTGAATCAGATCCGATCATTACACTATTCAACACGACAATTAGGCTGTGGCCCGAAATGACTTTCTTATAGATTTCGGGGTTTAACATTCTTTAACGAATTATGGTTTTTTTTTATGGTTTAGTTTTTTTTAAGAATTTTTAAAATCTGGTATTTTTTCACGGTTTTTTTCAGAGGTAGTGCTTGTATTTTTCACATAACTTAAGTATCTTATATCTATTGCATAGAAATTTGCAGTTCTGAAAAGCTGACAAATGCAGCTTTAAATCCGACCCAGACACTTTGTATCTACAGCTTAATGCCTGGAAGATATTAAGCTTTCAAATTCAAATTTCATAATTTTTTGCCGAAATTTTTTCGGAATTTTGACTTTAAAAACTCGGGAAAAGTCGAAAAAAAAATTATTATGGGCCAACATTTTTAGTTTAGATACGCATTAATTAGGCGTCATTTAAGGTATTGTTCATTAAAATCTATGGATATACGGTCAACTTTCAGCCGTTTAACCAAAACGACTGAAAAATAACGTTACTTACGTTACTTAAAAAATACCAGATTTAAAAAATTATTAACAAAATATTACACCATAAAAAAAAATAAAGTACTACAACAATCAGAAAAAGTCATTTTGGTTCACAGCCTAAATAAAAAGTTAAATTTTGTTGAGTAGTGCTATTAAAGCTATAATGAAAAAATTTATTTGCAGCTGTTAAGATGTCTAGCTCACACACTCTGCCTCGTGTTTGTGAAAACAAAATTTCGAATCATCATACGATACGCAAAAAAACCTTCGAACTGACTTTCTTGATTGTTTCGACTCCTGTGGCGTGATACTATATTCATCTTGTCCATTCCAGTAAATTATTGGATATTGAAGAGCGTCCAATAACACTACTCGACACGAGTTTTCCTCAAGGAACAAAACCAACTTTCACTTAAAGATTTGGGGCTTAGAAATGGTTTGATGATAATTTTTTTATGACAGAACTTTTTTTTTGAAGAATTTTTGAATCTGGTATTTTGTTTAAAGCTTTTTTCAGAGGTAGCGCTTCTTTTTTTCCCATAACTCTAGTAGCCTACGTCTGGTTGCAAAGAACTTTGCTATTTTGAAAAGATAATTAAAACAGCTAGAAGTCAAGCCCAAACACCTTGTAATTTTAGCTTACCGTCTGGGAAATATAAAGCATTGAAATGCAAAAACTATGATTTTTTTGCGGTATTATTTTTACGAAATTTTGAAACTCAGGAAAAGTCGAAAGAAAATTATATCCTGTGACCTCTATTTTGTTGTGTATAGGTGCATTAATTAGGCGTCGTTGAAGGTATTTAAGTTAAACTTTAACTTACTAAGAACATTTGTGAATGTGTGTTCATAGTGTGTGTGTCTTAATACATACCCAGGCAAGGGCAGAACTTAACGGTTCTTCGCGTTAATGCGGTGGTCAATCCGGGAGTACAATACAACTTTAATTCGTCTTGCATTTCTTCAAGAGGCACGGGAAGGAAATTGCAATTTATAACCCTTTGAAAACAGTTGATTACCGCAAATAAGCCAGTAAACACAGGATGAAGGTAAAATACATATATCAATGGTTTCATCAAAGTTAAGTTATCTATCAGCTCCCAGATCCCTGCCATAAAGATACCAAAAGCCACACCTACGGAAAAAATGAAACGGTTGGGGGTAAAATTTTAGTCTGCGGGCTAAAGTTAAAAAATAATACCGAATATAATGTTGATGTTTGCAATTATGACCACGGCTGTGCCAGCATCTCTGAAAAGGCTTGCCATAATATAGGTAAAGGGCAGACCCGCCACTCCGATGATCATGAGTATCGACAGCATCTCCCCGGGATGGCACAACTCGTGCAACGCCAGTATCAGTGCCAGGGTAAACGCAAAGTAGAGGGACAAGTCGATGATAAAGTGGGTCAGCCAGTAGGTGGCCATGTTCACGCCGGACACCTGCTGCTGCATCCGTATCTGCGTTGCCTTCTCCTGCGCCACTGAGATGGAGAATATCGCCAGGACAATGGACAGATATAGCAAAACACAAATGCTGGCGCCCACAATCATCTCTAAATGATGCTCAACTTGACTCAACCCTTCGTAGGGGGCATTGGTTACCTCTATGCTCGCCTCGGGACCCACCATCGCTTTCGCCATGGCGTTGAACGCGAGGCTGAGCGACACAGGAGCACTATGCGGGAACAGACGATGTCTAACCCAGACGATCGTTTCTTGGTCGAAGGTGGCTGCCGCTATAAGACGGCGCTTCATTTCGTATATCCTCGCGGGCGTTCCTTGCACCTGTGGGCCGATGTAGTCTATTACATTCTGGCTAATTCTTTCGACGGTGCAGTGCTGCTGGGCCAACTCTTGGTAGGCATTGGCTATATCCCGCACAGGGCGAGTGTCCGATGTTGATTGCAATATTACTTTGACGTCCTCACCATTATAATCGGCCAGAGTAAGAGGAAGTCTGGCCAGAAGTGCGCTCGCCGATGGCCTACGAATAAGAACTACAACGAAGAGAACTATGGGCAGCAGCAGCATAACCAGAAACATCCATTTCTTATCATATGTGTAGAGCAGCTTCTTCAGCAGCATGGCCTCCCACTGGCCCAGGTAGCGCAGGAAACGGTTCGGATGACGGCTCTGCTCTTGGCCCTGGCCTGCCTCTGACTCCGCCTCTGCTGAACCGATCCGCTACCGCCGCTAGTGCGAGCCCCAAGATCTTCCGCGCCGTGCGACATAAATATTTCTGAAAGACTGGTGGAGCTAAGACCGAATCCCACAACATCCAGCTGCTCCTTCTGTTGCTCCAAGTCGTTGAAGAGTGACCCAAAGGATCCCAAAAAGCGGTGCGGCAGTCGATACAGTCGGACACGTCCGATCCAATGTTGCTATGAGGCCGCGTGTTGGGCACGTGGGCGGCTATTAGTTGGGTCAACCTGGACACATTGCAGTTGGGTCCCTTCTCGCAGCTGAGCAGATAGCTGGTCTCGTTCTGTTTCTTGAGGAACGCCAATGTGCCCAGGCAACGGAGCCGGCCATCGCTTATGATGGCAATGCGGTCGGCCAATACCTCGCCCTCGTCCATTTGGTGGGTGGTGAGCAGAACAGTGCGTCCCTGCTTCTCATCCAGCAGCAGCTTCCAAAGTTCCAGCCGCGAGTTGGGATCCAGACCCGAGCTGGGCTCGTCGCAGAACAGAACCTTGACGTTGCCGCACAGGGCACAGGCCAACGCAAGCCGACGCTGTGTCCCCCCAGAGAGACGCCGAGCCGCGGTGTTGGCCTTTTCCTTAAGGCTTAGCTTCTGCAAGTACTTTTCCACCTCCTGTTTGACCGCTGCCCCCTTGAGACCCCTGAGCCGGCTGTAGAATCGAAGGTGACTGGCCACACTCAAACCAGCAAAGAAGACGCTTCTCTGCGGACAAATGCCCAAGGATCGACGGGCCTGGAGGTGTTCGGTTTGTATGTCGTAGCCATTGATGATCGCCGTGCCGGAGCTGGGTTGAATGGTGCCCGTCAACATTTGTATGGTCGTGGTCTTGCCAGCTCCATTGTGTCCCAGGAGCACCGTGATCTCGTTCTCAAACAAATCGAATGTGAGGCCAGCGACCACCTGTCGTTCGCCAAAGCTTTTGCTGAGATTTTTTATTTGTACACCAGGGGTTTTGCCTTTGGCGCTGGCATCCACGAACTTGGAGGTCTTACGCTCTGGAGACTTATCCGCAGAACGTCGCTCCTCGTCGGTGGGTTGCACCAGGAACAACCCGGGCGGGGATAATGATACTACTCGTCGTATGTTCTTGGTCGGACACCAGAAGCGCTTGGTGCACGGGAAATTCCATGGCTGTGGCATGCCAAACTCCCCTGGCCTCACCCGCTCCATGTACAGGCAGATGAGGATCGAGATCAGGCTAAACAGTATCATGAGAAACAGTATCGCACCAACGTTTATGCTGTCACGGGCCCATGACGTCTGAAAGATATTGCTCCAGTGCAGGCCCACACCAGCTAGCTCCCATGCGGCAATTCGAGCCATGACCATGTTCATGGCTGACACGACGAAAATGCTGCAAAGGATGTTCAACAGTGTCCCAGTACTGTCTCTGCTCGTGACAAAATTGGGCCCACTACTGGCCATGAACAGCAGGATGGCAATGATGCCACACCAATTGCTGCGAGTGCAGAAGGAGCTGACCAGGAAGCCGAAACATATGAAAGAGTGACTGCACACAAGCAGACAGAACAGAAAGACCGACCAGTCGGTATATGGGAGAACGGGCATGTCGGCAAATGGCGACCCCTCCACACCGGGTAGACCGATCATCGTCCAAAATATAGTAATAACCAGCGATATTATGAATAGAACTATCATGGACTTGACATACCAGGCCAGCCATTGGAGAGAGTTGCTTACGTCGGAGATGTTCAGCATATCCTTCAGCTGAAGCTCCTTTTCCTCGACAATGCTCTGCAAAATGAAACAGTTAAAGAGCTGCTAAAAGAACAGGACTTAGTCTTACCTTAACATCCATTATGAACGGGCAAAAAAAGGCACACATTAAAAGTACACCAAAATATTTGGAAAATGGCATATGATAATCCCTATCATATAGTGACTCCAGTTTTGGTCGAATAACAGTTTGGGTCGAATTCTTTTTCTGCAGGTACTGTAAGCTGAGTTCCGTCTGAAGATAAAGAAACCCACTTCTGCGGTAATATTTTACTTCCTCGTACTGCATTATCAGGAGATTTATATTAAAATGGTCTTCTTTGGTGACGGGAAACCGCAGAGCAAACCGGAATCTATGCGGCAATTCGGATATATCAGACCACTCGTCGGGAAACTCTATGCCGAACGCCCCTCGGTACGAACTATTTTTTGTAAGCGCTTCCTCCAAGGCCTTGGCATCGACAAAGCCCTGCACATGGACCGGATTTTCATCAGAAACAACTTCAGAAAAGGATACTCCTGTGACAAGCAACTCAAGAATTGCATTTTGCGGCGAGTAACAGAGGATAATTCCGCTTTTTGGAGCACACACAATGAACACAATATTATTTAATTAGAAGTGGGTTTTCAACTTACTATGGTAGCATAGGCTGATAGTTTTCGCTGAATTCGTAGCCTATGATGGGCACACCTTGCCCTATTATAACGGGCATCAGCGGAATTGCAAAAGATAATATTATTAAACAAGCCAACTGGCATTTTCGTCCCAAAAACACACATAGATTTTTCCACAATATCAATAGAAACTTCCTTGGGCAGGACAACACCTCCGGCACTTGCTCTTCATTTGTCATGTTTTATATATGTAACGCAGTCTGAAATCAGTCAGTGTTGTGGTAGGAAATATATAAGCCACTCGTAAATGGAATCCTTTTTGGAGGTACCAGATCCCAGTGATGTATTCAGTAATGCAAGATTTAATACATTATATAATATCGTAACAAATTAAATGAGACTGAGACTAATGTTTTCCACAAATCGACGAATAAATTGGCAGAACTAACTAGATTTCAACAAAAAGTAATCGTACGAACACTCGTATGTAAATTCTATTTTAGGGATAAGGGGATAAGTTGTAGATCCTTGTGTCATGCACACAGTCAGTCGTAGAGGACATACTGACTTTTCAGAGAATTAGGTTTTAAAGCCAATCAATCCTATAATCAATACTAGATCTGGTATTTATATAATTTGTATTTTGGTATGCTATGCTTCGAATGTGGTGTGTCCGTGAAATTGATTTGTTGATAACAACTAACTAGAAATGTCTAAACCTTTGTTTCGTGGAAGAAAAGCTTCGCCCAAAGAAGTTTCTCTTTTATTTGCACAGATGATCTTTACAATAAAGATAACCTTTGAAAAATTTAGAATCCTTCATCCTCTACATCCGCCGTCGCAGTTGCATCCAAAAATATTACAGGGGCCTTTCCCACAAAAATTTGATGCGATGGTTCCATCATCGCATACGAATTTCCCGCGCAGTAGGTCGGTGTGCCCGTAGCAGCACGTAAGCCTGGGTTTTTTTTCGCCTCTACAGCCGCCGTCACAATTACATCCAAAGATATTACACTTGCCATACGCGCAATAGCTTCCTTTGGCACGCGAACCATCCGAGCAACGCCCATTACTCCTGGCATGGCAGCAGTAGGCGGTCACACCGCCAATGAGAACTAAAAGCAGTAGTACAGTCAAAGAATTCATAGTCTGATCTATGCGATTGCGATGGTTTTACTATTGGGTTGGATGATACTATACTTTCGCAAATCGTTTTGAAATCTACTATATATAGGTTTTATCTAATTTGGTGTGTTACGCTTCTAATGTGGTGTGTCCATGAAATTGGTGATTTTTTTATTTCGCTTACATAACCCACACAACCCTTCACGCACTTCGCCCCATTAACACATCATAATTATACCCGTACTCAAAAAAGTGTTAAGGGGTATTTTAGATTTGTGGTAAAAGTGGATGTGTGTAACGCAGAGAAGGAAACGTTTCCGACCCCATAAAGCATATATATTCTTCATCAGCATCAATATCCGAGTCAATATAGCCATGTCCGTCTGTCCGTCTGTCCGTCTCGATGATCTCTTAGATCTCAGAGACAATGAGAGTTAGGGCAACCAAATTTGGTTTCCAGACTCAAGTGATATCCACTGCTACAAGTGTATTTCAAAATTTCGCCCCGCCCCCTTCCGCCCACACAAAGGACGAAAATCTGTGGCAGCCACAATTTTAAAGATACGATAAAACTGAAAACGCAGTATCGTAGAAAATAACCATATCTACCAGATTGCCGAATCTGAATCAGATCGGATCATAATTATAGCCAGAATGAAGAAATGAATTTTCTGTTGGTTCCCTCTCCTTCTAAAGCGCTGCTGACGCTACTGATTCTCTTTCTCGCTCGCACACTCTGCCGCGTTCAGTGCGCGAGCAACCCCTAGCGGAAGAGATGTAGAATATACATTGTGGATGTATTTGTAGATAACATATGTATTCTAAAATTCCAAAAAATCATATGCCCAAAAATGTGTATATACTGACTGAGTACGGGTATAAGAAGAGTCGCGTCCCCAGAAGCGACTCACACGTTCCTTCTTGTTATTTATGCCTTTGATACTGTCATCCGTGTAATGTTAGTGGAAGGAGTTATTACTACAGCAGTGACATTTCGCCATATCTCTTAGGCAACTTAGGCACACACTCCTTAACCTCTTCGAGTACTGGGTAAAAAAAAAAATTAAAGTGCGGATACACTAACAGAGACGCTCCTCAAAAAAAGAACTCCGAAAGCACTTTATTTTAGTCGAATTCCCTTATGACAGCCAGCTCGCTGTCTGCCCGCCCTCACTCGCTATATTTCTACAGGGCTATGTCTTGGTTAACCTAGTGGCCCGGCTATTATCTTTATCAGATTTCGGAGAATCCTTTTAGGTGGGACGACTCTTCGGTTGCCTATTTTGATTTTGTTGTTTCTTTTAGTTCGCTTTCTTCTTGGCAATGTCCAGAAATACATCTTCCACCTTCCAAGGGCTGCGATTTCTCTCAACGTATGAGAACACCCTCGACCATCTCATTTTGGCAATGGGTATGTGGTAAGTGAGCCTGCCACCAAACTCTTCCCTGAATGAGCAGTCATTACGGGTGAGGTGAGTATGTTTGGCTGGTCTGAAATGCAACTTACTCTAGCGATGCCGTGGGAAAGTCCGATTCCATTTGATTCTTTACCTTCAGTACAGTGTACGCCATGCTGTGTGGGTGGGTGGGTTTGTGGGGTTATCTCTTTACGATCTGGAGATCGAATACACTTTAAATGGGCTGGTCTCACCTTTCCAGACTTCCGGTATCCACATGTAACTTGAGCACCAGACACTGGGCAAACTTATTCTTGATGCGCTGCTGGGATCCCAGGCAATGAATTTGCCCATCCACCATAATGGCCAACTGCGTGCAGAGGGCCTCCACCTCCTCCATGCTATGAGAGCTGAGCAGCACCGCCTTCCCCTTGTCCCGCAGCGAGGAGAGGACATTCCACACATGGCGCCGGGAGGCCGGATCGACCCCAGAACTGGGCTCGTCCAGACAAATGAGCGATGAGCCCTCACCGGCCACCGCTGCGTTTAACTTTCGCTTAGTGCCGCCACTGTAGTCCTTGACCTTTTTGTCGAGGTGCGCAAAAAAGCCAAAGTCGGTGGCCAGCTTTTCCGAGACTTTTTTGAGGAGATTCCGGCGTGTGCCGCGCAGCAAAAGGAAGATCCTGAGTGTTTGACGGCCTGTGCAGAAGTCGAAGAGCGTGTCGTGCTGGGGACAGTAGCCGATATGCCGCCTCGCTGCGATGGGGGCGGAATTTCATGCTGCAGCCTCTGACGTGAATACTCCCCATCGTCATGGCAATGTCGCCCACAATCATCTTGAAGGTAGTCGTTTTACCGGCCCCGTTGGCACCCAGCAGACCAAAGCACACGCCCCTGCAGTAAATTGGGGACTTGGCTTTTAAGTAATTGTTATTGCTACACTTGAATGACTACTCACGGCTGGACAGCGAAGGATATTCCACGTACGGCAGCCATGCAGCAGTATCTCTTTGAGACCCGGCTCAGCACTAAAGCATGCTCCTTGCGATCCTCGCTCGACATTTTACTTATCCTTTCGGCCGCAGCAGTCACGTCTTCATCTTCATCATTGATTGTTGCATTTTGTTTACAAAAACGACCAAAATATTTATATATATATACCACAATATACCACAACGTGGTACTGTATTCGCCAAAAATCAGCCACAAAAAGTAGCAAATACCAGAAATAAGCATAAACCTCACCTCCACCCAATCCAGAATGTCTGTAAGAAAAAAAGCAAACATATAAATATATATTTTTAAATTGTTAACCATGTTATTCGGGTTTTTTGAATTAAGTCACTAATTCCTTAAAAATGTAATATGTGACCAAGTTTTGTATGCAGACTCCCTTTATGTCCAAACTTCGCGCTGCCCACACAAAAGACGAAACTGTGTCATCCACAATTTTAAAGTACGAGAAAATAACCGTATCCCCTGCATTGCCGAACCTGAATCAGATCATATCATTACTATAGCTAGAATGAAGAAATTATTATGCAGTTGCTACGCTTTCTAGCTTAAACACTCAGTCAGTATATCAATTTTTGAGCTTATGATTTATGTAGAATTTTAAAAAATTTTACATTTAACTTTTTTTGCTACATCTGTTATCTACATCTAAAATGTATATTATACATCTAACATGTAGATTCTACATGTACCATTTAGATTATACATCTCCTCCGCTAGCGGGCGCTCGCTTACTGAACGAGGCAGAGCGTGCGAGCGAGAAAAGGGAATGGGTAGCGTGGTCTCTTGCTGGAGGTGATGGGGGAAGCAACTGAAAATTAATTTCTTCATTCTGAGTATAATTATGATCCGATCTGAAACAGATTCGGCAATTGGTAGATATGGTCATCCCTACGATACTGCGTTTTTTGTTTTATCGTATCTTTAAAATTGTGCCTGCCACAAATTTTCGTTCTTTGTGTGGGCGGAAGGGGCGGGGCAAAATTTTGAAATACACTTGTAGCGGTGTTATATCACATGAGTCAGGAAACGAAATTTCGTTGCTCTAGCTCATATAGTCTCTGAGATTTAGGCGCTCATCAAGACGGACGGACGGACGGACGGACAGACGGACGGACAGACGGACATGGCTATATAGACTCGGCTATTGATGCTGATCAAGAATATATATACTTTATGGGGTCGGAAACGTTTCCTTCTCTGCGTTGCACACATCCACTTTTACCACAAATCTAATATACCCCTTAACTCTTTTTTGAGTACGGGTATAAAAATTAGGACTAAATTAATTTTGATAATAAAATCGTTAGAAAATGATTTGGAAATTCCCATATATTTAGGTATTGCGATTTTTGTAAATTCTTTGAATGTTTGTGTTCATTGTGTGTGTCTTAATACTTACCTAGGCAAGGGCAGAATTTTACGGTTTTTCCCGTTAATGCGGTGGTCAATCCGGGAGTACAATACAACTTTAATTCGTCTTGCATTTCTTCAAGAGGCACGGGAAGGAAATTGCAATTTATAACCCTTTGAAAACAGTTGATTACCGCAAATAATCCAGTAAACACAGGATGAAGGTAAAACACTTTTATCATTGGTCCGATAAAAGGTAAATCATTTAACATGTCCCAAGCTACTGTCATAAAAAAGGAAAAACCCACACCTACAAAGAAAATAAACAAAGGAAACGTTGGGAGTACAATTTTAGTCTGCGGACTAAAGTTAAAAAATAATACCGAATATAATGTTGATGTTTGCAATTATGATAACGGCTGTGCCAGCATCTCTGAAAAGGCTTGCCATAATATAGGTAAAGGGCAGACCCGCCACTCCGATGATCATGAGTATCGACAGCATCTCCCCGGGATGGCACAACTCGTGCACCGCCAGTATCAGTGTCAGCGCAAACGCAAAGTAGAGGGACAAGTCGATGATAAAGTGGGTCAGCCAGTAGGTGGCCAAGCTCACGCCAGACACCTGCTGCTGCATCCGTATCTGCGTTACCCTCTCCTGCGCCACTGAGATGGAGAATATCGCCAGGACAATGGACAGATATAGCAAAACATAAATGCTGGCGCTCTCAATCATTATCATTCGATTCTCAACTTGACTCAACCCTTCGTAGGGGGCATTGGTTACCTCTATGCTCGCCTCGGGACCCACCATCGCTTTCGCCATGGCGTTGAACGCGAGGCTGAGCGACACAGGAGCACTATGCGGGAACAGACGCTGTCTACACCAGACGATTGTTTCTTGGTCGAAGGTGGCTGCCGCTATAAGACGTTGCTTCATTTCGTATATTCTCGCGGGCGTTCCTTGCACCTGTGGGCCGATGTAGTCTATTACATTCTGGCTAATTCTTTCGACGGTGCAGTGCTGCTGGGCCAACTCTTGGTAGGCATTGGCTATATCCCGCACAGGGCGAGTGTCCGATGTTGATTGCAATATTACTTTGACCTCCTCACCATTATAATCGGCCAGAGTAAGAGGAAGTCTGGCCAGAAGTGCGCTCGCCGATGGCCTACGAATAAGAACTACAACGAAGAGGACTATGGGCAGCAGCAGGATAACCAGAAACATCCATTTCTTATCATATGTGTAGAGAAGCTTCTTCAGCAGCATGGCCTCCCACTGGCCCAGGTAGCGCAGGAAACGGTTCGGATGACGGCTCTGCTCTTGGCCCTGGCTCTGCCTCTGACTCTGCCTCTGCTGAACCGATCCGCCACCGCCGCTAGTGCGAGCCCCAAGATCTTCCGCGCCGTGCGACATAAATATTTCTGAAAGACTGGTGGAGCTAAGGCCGAATCCCACAACATCCAGCTGCTCCTTCTGTTGCTCCAAGTCGTTGAAGAGTGACCCAAAGGATCCCAAAAAGCGGTGCGGCAGTCGATACAGTCGGACACGTCCGATCCAATGTTGCTATGAGGCCGCGTGTTGGGCACGTGGGCGGCTATTAGTTGGGTCAACCTGGACACATTGCAGTTGGGTCCCTTCTCGCAGCTGAGCAGATAGCTGGTCTCGTTCTGTTTCTTGAGGAACGCCAATGTGCCCAGGCAACGGAGCCGGCCATCGCTTATGATGGCAATGCGGTCGGCCAATACCTCGCCCTCGTCCATTTGGTGGGTGGTGAGCAGAACAGTGCGTCCCTGCTTCTCATCCAGCAGCAGCTTCCAAAGTTCCAGCCGCGAGTTGAGATCCAGACCCGAGCTGGGCTCGTCGCAGAACAGAACCTTGACGTTGCCGCACAGGGCACAGGCCAACGCAAGCCGACGCTGTGTCCCCCCAGAGAGACGCCGAGCCGCGGTGTTGGCCTTTTCCTTAAGGTTTAGCTTCTGCAAGTACTTTTCCACCTCCTGTTTGACCGCTGCCCCCTTGAGACCCCTGAGCCGGCTGTAGAATCGAAGGTGACTGGCTACACTCAAACCAGCAAAGAAGACGCTTCTCTGCGGACAAATGCCCAAGGATCGACGGGCCTGGAGGTGTTCTGTTTGTATGTCGTAGCCATTGATGATCGCCGTGCCGGAGCTGGGTTGAATGGTGCCCGTCAACATTTGTATGGTCGTGGTCTTGCCAGCTCCATTGTGTCCCAGGAGCACCGTGATCTCGTTCTCAAACAAATCGAATGTGAGGCCAGCGTCCACCTGCCGTTCGCCAAAGCTTTTGCTGAGATTTTTTATTTGTACACCAGGGGTTTTGCCTTTGGCGCTGGCATCCACGAACTTGGAGGTCTTACGCTCTGGAGACTTATCCGCAGAACGTCGCTCCTCGTCGGTGGGTTGCACCAGGAACAACCCGGGGATATTGGTACTACTCGTCGTATGTTCTTGGTCGGACACCAGAAGCGCTTGGTGCACGGGAAATTCCATGGCTGTGGCATGCGAAACTCCCCTGGCCTCACCCGCTCCATGTACAGGCAGATGAGGATCGAGATCAGGCTAAACAGTATCATGAGAAACAGTATCGCACCAACGCTTATGCTGTCACGGGCCCATGACGTCTGAAAGAGATTGCTCCAGTGCAGGCCCAAACCCTCGTATTCCCATAAGATAATTCGATCCATGACCATGTTCATGGCTGACACGACGAAAATGCTGCACAGGATGTTCAACAGTGTTCCAGTACTGTCTCTGCTCGTGACAAAATTGGGCCCACTACTGGCCATGAACAGAAGGATGGCAATGATGCCACACCAATTGCTGCGAGCGCAGCAGCAGCTGACCAGGAAGCCGAAACATATGAAAGAGTGACTGCACACAAGCAGACAAAACAGAAAGACAGACCAGTCGCTATATGGGAGAACGGGCATGTCGGCAAATGGCGACCCCTCCTCACCGGGTATACCGATCATCGTCCAAAATATAGTAATAGCTAGCGATATTATGAATAGAACTATCATGGACTTGACATACCAGGCCAGCCATTGGAGAGAGTTGCTTACGTCGGAGATGTTCAGCATATCCTTCAGCTGAAGCTCCTTTTCCTCGACAATGCTCTGCAAAATGAAACAGTTAAAGAGCTGCTAAAAGAACAGGACTTAGTCTTACCTTAACATCCATTATGAACGGGCAAAAAAAGGCACACATTAAAAGTACACCAAAATATTTGGAAAATGGCATATGATAATCCCTATCATATAGTGACTCCAGTTTTGGTCGAATAACAGTTTGGGTCGAATTCTTTTTCTGCAGGTACTGTAAGCTGAGTTCCGTCTGAAGATAAAGAAACCCACTTCTGCGGTAATATTTTACTTCCTCGTACTGCATTATCAGGAGATTTATATTAAAATGGTCTTCTTTGGTGACGGGAAACCGCAGAGCAAACCGGAATCTATGCGGCAATTCGGATATATCAGACCACTCGTCGGGAAACTCTATGCCGAACGCCCCTTTGTACGAACTATTTTTTGTAAGCGCTTCCTCCAAGGCCTTGGCATCGACAAAGCCCTGCACATGGACCGGATTTTCATCAGAAACAACTTCAGAAAAGGATACTCCTGTGACAAGCAACTCATGAATTGCATTTTGCGGCGAGTAACAGAGGATAATTCCGCTTTTTGGAGCACACACAATGAACACAATATTATTTAATTAGAAGTGGGTTTTCAACTTACTATGGTAGCATGGGCTGATAGTTTTCGCTGAATTCGTAGCCTATGATGGGCACACCTTGCCCTATTATAACGGGCATCAGCGGAATTGCAAAAGATAATATTATTAAACAAGCCAACTGGCATTTTCGTCCCAAAAACACACATAGATTTTTCCACAATATCAATAGAAACTTCCTTGGGCAGGACAACACCTCCGGCACTTCCTCTTCATTTGTCATGTTTTATATATGTAACGCAGTCTGAAATCAGTCAGTGTTGTGGTAGGAAATATATAAGCCACTCGTAAATGGAATCCTTGGAATCCATTAATGGAATCTGATCCCAGTGTTGTATTTACTTATGCAAGATTTAATACATTATATAATATCGTAACAAATTAAATGAGACTGAGACTAATGTTTTCCACAAATCGACGAATAAATTGGCAGAACTAACTAGATTTCAACAAAAAGTAATCGTACGAACACTCGTATGTAAATTTATTTTAGGGATAAGGGGATAAGTTGTAGATCCTTGTGTCATGCACACAGTCAGTCGTAGAGGACATACTGACTTTTCAGAGAATTAGGTTTTAAAGCCAATCAATCCTATAATCAATACTAGATCTGGTATTTATATAATTTGTATTTTGGTATGCTATGCTTCGAATGTGGTGTGTCCGTGAAATTGATTTGTTGATAACAACTAACTAGAAATGTCTAAACCTTTGTTTCGTGGAAGAAAAGCTTCGTCCAAAGAAGTTACTTTTTTATTTGCACAGATGGTCGTTAAAATAAGAATGACGTCGTTGACAAATATACTTTATTTTCTGCAACCTCCGTCGCAGTTGCATCCAAACATATTACAGGGGCCATAGCCACAATAAAATGTTGTGTAAGTTCCATCCTTACATACGTTCATTACTTTATTTAGACGCGGGTTGAAAGTAACTTTCGAATAGCAGCACGTAAGCTTGGGTTTTTTTTCGCCTCTACAGCCGCCGTCACAATTACATCCAAAGATATTACACTTGCCATACGCGCAATAGCTTCCTTTGGCACGCGAACCATCCGAGCAACGCCCATTACTCCTGGCATGGCAGCAGTAGGCGGTCACACCGCCAATGAGAACTAAAAGCAGTAGTACAGTCAAAGAATTCATAGTCTGATCTATGCGATTGCGATGGTTTTACTATTGGGTTGGATGATACTATACTTTCGCAAATCGTTTTGAAATCTACTATATATAGGTTTTATCTAATTTGGTGTGTTACGCTTCTAATGTGGTGTGTCCATGAAATTGGTGATTTTTTTATTTTCGCTTACATAACCCACACAACCCTTCACGCACTTCGCCCCATTAACACATCATAATTATACCCGTACTCAAAAAAGTGTTAAGGGGTATTTTAGATTTGTGGTAAAAGTGGATGTGTGTAACGCAGAGAAGGAAACGTTTCCGACCCCATAAAGCATATATATTCTTCATCAGCATCAATATCCGAGTCAATATAGCCATGTCCGTCTGTCCGTCTCGATGATCTCTTAGATCTCAGAGACAATGAGAGTTAGGGCAACCAAATTTGGTTTCCAGACTCATGTGATATCCACTGCTACAAGTGTATTTCAAAATTTCTCCCGCCCCCTTCCGCCCCACAAAGGACGAAAATCTGTGGCAGGCACAATTTTAAAGATACGATAAAACTGAAGAAAACAATTTTCAGTTGCTTCCCCACCTCCTCCAGCCAGAGACCACGCTAGTCATTGTCTTTCTCGCTCGCACACTCTGCCTCGTTCAGTGCGCGAGTGCCCGCTAGCGGAGGAGATGTAGAATATACATTGTGGATGTATTTGTAGATAACATATGTATTCTAAAATTCCAAAAAATCATATGCCCAAAAATGTGTATATACTGACTGAGTACGGGTATAAGAAGAGTCGCGTCCCCAGAAGCGACTCACACGTTCCTTCTTGTTATTTATGCCTTTGATACTGTCATCCGTGTAATGTTAGTGGAAGGAGTTATTACTACAGCAGTGACATTTCGCCATATCTCTTAGGCAACTTAGGCACACACTCCTTAACCTCTTCGAGTACTGGGTAAAAAAAAAAATTAAAGTGCGGACACTAACAAAATGGCAGAGACGCTCCTCAAAAAAAGAACTCCGAAAGCACTTTATTTTAGTCGAATTCCCTTATGACAGCCAGCTCGCTGTCTGCCCGCCCTCACTCGCTATATTTCTACAGGGCTATGTCTTGGTTAACCTAGTGGCCCGGCTATTATCTTTATCAGATTTCGGAGAATCCTTTTTGGTGGGACGACTCTTCGGTTGCCTGTTTTGATTCTTTTGTTGTTTCTTTTTGTTCGCTTTCTTCTTGGCAATGTCCAGAAATACATCTTCCAGCGACGGCTGCGTCAGAGAGTAGTCCACCACCTTCCAAGGGCTGCGATTTCTCTCAACGTATGAGAACACCCTCGACCATCTCATTTTGGCAATGGGTATGTGGTAAGTGAGCCTGCCACCAAACTCTTCCCTGAATGAGCAGTCATTACGAGTGAGGTGAGTATGTTTGGCTGGTCTGAAATGCAACTTACTCTAGCGATGCCGTGGGAAAGTCCGATTCCATTTGATTCTTTACCTTCAGTACCGTGTACGCCATGCTGTGTGGGTGGGTGGGTTTCGTGGGGTTATCTCTTTACGATCTGGAGATCGAATACACTTTAAATGGGCTGGTCTCACCTTTCCAGACTTCCGGTATCCACATGTAACTTGAGCACCAGACACTGGGCAAACTTATTCTTGATGCGCTGCTGGGATCCCAGGCAATGAATTTGCCCATCCACCATAATGGCCAACTGCGTGCAGAGGGCCTCCACCTCCTCCATGCTATGAGAGCTGAGCAGCACCGCCTTCCCCTTGTCCCGCAGCGAGGAGAGGACATTCCACACATGGCGCCGGGAGGCCGGATCGACCCCAGAACTGGGCTCGTCCAGACAAATGAGCGATGAGCCCTCACCGGCCACCGCTGCGTTTAACTTTCGCTTAGTGCCGCCACTGTAGTCCTTGACCTTTTTGTCGAGGTGCGCAAAAAAGCCAAAGTCGGTGGCCAGCTTTTCCGAGACTTTTTTGAGGAGATTCCGGCGTGTGCCGCGCAGCAAAAGGAAGATCCTGAGTGTTTGACGGCCTGTGCAGAAGTCGAAGAGCGTGTCGTGCTGGGGACAGTAGCCGATCTGCCGCCTCGCTGCCGTGGGGCGGAATTTCATGCTGCAGCCTCTGACGTGAATACTCCCCATCGTCATAGCACTGTCGCCCACAATCATCTTGAAGGTTGTCGTTTTACCGGCCCCGTTGGCACCCAGCAGACCAAAGCACACGCCCCTGCAGTAAATTGGGGATTGGCTTTTAAGTAATTGTTATTGCTGCACTTGAATGACTACTCACGACTGGACAGCGAAGGATATTCCACGTACGGCAGCCATGCAGCAGTATCTCTTTGAGACCCGGCTCAGGACTAAAGCATGCTCCTTGCGATCCTCGCTCGACATTTTACTTATCCTTTCGGCCGCAGCAGTCACGTCTTCATCTTCATAATTGATTGTTGCATTTTGTTTACAAAAACGACCAAAATATTTATATATATATACAACAATATACCACAACGTGGTACTGTATTCGCCGAAAATCAGCCACAACAAGTAGCAACTACCAGAAATAAGCATATACCTCACCTCCACCCAATCCAGAATGTCTGTAAGAAAAAAAGCAAACATATAAATATATATTTTTAAATTGTTAACCATGTTATTCGGGTTTTTTGAATTAAGTCACTAATTCCTTAAAAATGTAATATGTGACCAAGTTTTGTATGCAGACTCCTTTTATGTCCAAACTTCGCGCTGCCCACACAAAAGACGAAAATCTGTGTCATCCACAATTTTAAAGTACGAGAAAATAACCGTATCCCCTGCATTGCCGAACCTGAATCAGATCATATCATTACTATAGCTAGAATGAAGAAATTATTATGCAGTTGCTACGCTTTCTAGCTCAAACACTCAGTCAGTATATCAATTTTTGAGCTGATTTGTGTAGAATTTTAAAAAATTTTACATTTAACTTTTTTTGCTACATCTGTTATCTACATCTAAAATGTATATTATACATCTAACATGTAGATTCTACATGTACCATTTAGATTATACATCTCCTCCGCTAGCGGGCGCTCGCTTACTGAACGAGGCAGAGCGTGCGAGCGAGAAAAGGGAATGGGTAGCGTGGTCTCTTGCTGGAGGTGATGGGGGAAGCAACTGAAAATTAATTTCTTCATTCTGAGTATAATTATGATCCGATCTGAAACAGATTCGGCAATCTGGTAGATATGGTCATTCTCTACGATACTGCGTTTTTTGTTTTATCGTATCTTTAAAATTGTGCCTGCCACAAATTTTCGTTCTTTGTGTGGGCGGAAGGGGGCGGGGCAAAATTTTGAAATACACTTGTAGCGGTGTTATATCACATGAGTCAGGAAATGAAATTTCGTTGCTCTAGCTCATATAGTCTCTGAGATTTAGGCGCTCATCAAGACGGACGGGCGGACGGACGGACGGACAGACGGACATGGCTCTATCGACTCGGCTATTGATGCTGATCAAGAATATTTATACTTTATGGGGTCGGAAACGTTTCCTTCTCTGCGTTGCACACATCCAATTTTACCACAAATACAATTTGCCCCTAATCTCTTTTTGAGTACGGGTATAAAAAATGGAAATTTTAACATTCCATTTAATAAAAGGTCACATATACTGACTGAGTACCAGGTATAAATGTAGGGGCGCGGCTTTTGCCGCGACGCACAACGTTCCCCCTCGTTTCTTGTTTAATTTAATGCTAAACATGTTGGGGGTAAACAAAAGTTATATCGAAAGATGCTGTAAATTTTTTAAAAGTTCTCACATCAAAGCTAATGAAAAAAATTAGGACTACATTAATTTTGATAATAAAATCGTTAGAAAATTATTTGGAAATTCATATATATTTAGGTATTGCGATTTTTGTAAATTCTTTGAATGTTTGTGTTCATTGTGTGTGTCTTAATACTTACCTAGGCAAGGGCAAAATTTTACGGTTTTTCCCGTTAATGCGGTGGTCAATCCGGGAGTACAATACAACTTTAATTCGTCTTGCATTTCTTCAAGAGGCACGGGAAGGAAATTGCAATTTATAACCCTTTGAAAACAGTTGATTACCGCAAATAATCCAGTAAACACAGGATGAAGGTAAAACACTTTTATCATTGGTCCGATAAAAGGTAAATCATTTAACATGTCCCAAGCTACTGTCATAAAAAAGGAAAAACCCACACCTACAAAGAAAATAAACAAAGGAAACGTTGGGAGTACAATTTTAGTCTGCGGACTAAAGTTAAAAAATAATACCGAATATAATGTTGATGTTTGCAATTATGATAACGGCTGTGCCAGCATCTCTGAAAAGGCTTGCCATAATATAGGTAAAGGGCAGACCCGCCACTCCGATGATCATGAGTATCGACAGCATCTCCCCGGGATGGCACAACTCGTGCACCGCCAGTATCAGTGTCAGCGCAAACGCAAAGTAGAGGGACAAGTCGATGATAAAGTGGGTCAGCCAGTAGGTGGCCAAGCTCACGCCAGACACCTGCTGCTGCATCCGTATCTGCGTTACCCTCTCCTGCGCCACTGAGATGGAGAATATCGCCAGGACAATGGACAGATATAGCAAAACATAAATGCTGGCGCTCACAATCATTATCATTCGATTCTCAACTTGACTCAACCCTTCGTAGGGGGCATTGGTTACCTCTATGCTCGCCTCGGGACCCACCATCGCTTTCGCCATGGCGTTGAACGCGAGGCTGAGCGACACAGGAGCACTATGCGGGAACAGACGCTGTCTACACCAGACGATTGTTTCTTGGTCGAAGGTGGCTGCCGCTATAAGACGTTGCTTCATTTCGTATATTCTCGCGGGCGTTCCTTGCACCTGTGGGCCGATGTAGTCTATTACATTCTGGCTAATTCTTTCGACGGTGCAGTGATGCTGGGCCAACTCTTGGTAGGCATTGGCTATATCCCGCACAGGGCGAGTGTCCGATGTTGATTGCAATATTACTTTGACCTCCTCACCATTATAATCGGCCAGAGTAAGAGGAAGTCTGGCCAGAAGTGCGCTCGCCGATGGCCTACGAATAAGAACTACAACGAAGAGAACTATGGGCAGCAGCAGCATAACCAGAAACATCCATTTCTTATCATATGTGTAGAGCAGCTTCTTCAGCAGCATGGCCTCCCACTGGCCCAGGTAGCGCAGGAAACGGTTCGGATGACGGCTCTGCTCTTGGCCCTGGCTCTGCCTCTGACTCCGCCTCTGCTGAACCGATCCGCCACCGCCGCTAGTGCGAGCCCCAAGATCTTCCGCGCCGTGCGACATAAATATTTCTGAAAGACTGGTGGAGCTAAGACCGAATCCCACAACATCCAGCTGCTCCTTCTGTTGCTCCAAGTCGTTGAAGAGTGACCCAAAAGATCCCAAAAAGCGGTGCGGCAGTCGATAGGACACGTCCGATCCAATGTTGCTATGAGGCCGCGTGTTGGGCACGTGGGCGGCTATCAGTTGGGTCAACCTGGACACATTGCAGTTGGGTCCCTTCTCGCAGCTGAGCAGATAGCTGGTCTCGTTCTGTTTCTTGAGGAACGCCAATGTGCCCAGGCAACGGAGCCGGCCATCGCTTATGATGGCAATGCGGTCGGCCAATACCTCGCCCTCGTCCATTTGGTGGGTGGTGAGCAGAACAGTGCGTCCCTGCTTCTCATCCAGCAGCAGCTTCCAAAGTTCCAGCCGCGAGTTGGGATCCAGACCCGAGCTGGGCTCGTCGCAGAACAGAACCTTGACGTTGCCGCACAGGGCACAGGCCAACGCAAGCCGACGCTGTGTCCCCCCAGAGAGACGCCGAGCCGCGGTGTTGGCCTTTTCCTTAAGGCTTAGCTTCAGCAAGTACTTTTCCACCTCCTGTTTGACCGCTGCCCCCTTGAGACCCCTGAGCCGGCTGTAGAATCGAAGGTGACTGGCTACACTCAAACCAGCAAAGAAGACGCTTCTCTGCGGACAAATGCCCAAGGATCGACGGGCCTGGAGGTGTTCGGTTTGTATGTCGTAGCCATTGATGATCGCCGTGCCGGAGCTGGGTTGAATGGTGCCCGTCAACATTTGTATGGTCGTGGTCTTGCCAGCTCCATTGTGTCCCAGGAGCACCGTGATCTCGTTCTCAAACAAATCGAATGTGAGGCCAGCGACCACCTGTCGTTCGCCAAAGCTTTTGCTGAGATTTTTTATTTGTACACCAGGGGTTTTGCCTTTGGCGCTGGCATCCACGAACTTGGAGGTCTTACGCTCTGGAGACTTATCCGCAGAACGTCGCTCCTCATCGGTGGGTTGGACAGGGAACCACCCGGGCGGGGATAATGATACTACTCGTCGTATGTTCTTGGTCGGACACCAGAAGCGCTTGGTGCACGGGAAATTCCATGGCTGTGGCATGCCAAACTCCCCTGGCCTCACCCGCTCCATGTACAGGCAGATGAGGATCGAGATCAGGCTAAACAGTATCATGAGAAACAGTATCGCACCAACGCTTATGCTGTCTCGGGCCCATGACGTCTGAAAGAGATTGCTCCACTGCAGGCCAAAACCCGCTTGTTCCCATGCGGCAATTCGATCCATGACCATGTTCATGGCTGACACGACGAAAATGCTGCACAGGATGTTCAACAGTGTTCCAGTACTGTCTCTGCTCGTGACAAAATTGGGCCCACTACTGGCTATGAACAGAAGTATGGCAATGAGGCCACACCAATTGCTGCGAGCGCAGCAGCAGCTGACCAGGAAGCCGAAACATATGAAAGAGTGACTGCACACAAGCAGACAAAACAGAAAGACAGACCAGTCGGTATATGGGAGAACGGGCATGTCGGCAAATGGCCACCCCTCCTCACCGGGTAGACCGATCATCGTCCAAAATATAGTAATAGCTAGCGATATTATGAATAGAACTATCATGGACTTGACATACCAGGCCAGCCATTGGAGAGAGTTGCTTACGTCGGAGATGTTCAGCATATCCTTCAGCTGAAGCTCCTTTTCCTCGACAATGCTCTACAAAATGAAACAGTTAAAGAACTGCTAAAAGAACAAGACTTAGTCTTACCTTAACATCCATTGTGAACGGGCATAAAAAGGCACACATTAAAAATACACCAAAATAGTTGGACAATGGTATAAAAATATTCTTATCATATAGTGATTCCAGTTTTGGTCGAATAACAGTTTGGGTCGAATTCTTTTTCTGCAGGTACTGTAAGCTGAGTTCCGTCTGAAGAAAAAGAAACCCACTCTTTATGTAATATGTTCCTATTTCGTTCTGCGATATCCGGAGATTTATCTTAAAATGGTCTTCTTTGGTGACGGGAAAGCGCAGAGCAAACCGGAATCTATGCGGCAATTCGGATATATCAGACCACTCGTCGGGAAACTCTATGCCGAACGCCCCTCGGTACGAACTATTTTTTGTAAGCGCTTCATCCAAGGCCTTGGCATCGACAAAGCCCTGCACATGGACCGGATTTTCATCAGAATCAACTTCAGAAAAGGATACTCCTGTGACAAGCAACTCAAGAATTGCATTTTGCGGCGAGTAACAGAGGATAATTCCGCTTTTTTGAGCACACACAATGAACACAATATTATTTAATTAGAAGTAGGTTTTCAACTTACTATGGTAGCATAGGCTGAAAGTTTTCGTTTGAAACGTAGCTTGTGATTGGCATGGCTTGCCCCCACATAAAAGGCACCAGCGGAATTGTAAAAGATAATATTATTAAACAAGCCAACTGGCATTTGCGCCCCAAGAACACACATAGATTTTTCCAAAATATCAATAGAAACTTCCTCGGGCACGACAAGACTTCCGGCACTTGCTCTTCATTTGTCATGTTTTATATATGTAACGCAGTCTGAAATCAGTCAGTGTTGTGGTAGGAAATATATAAGCCACTCGTTAATGGAATCCTTGGAATCCATTAATGGAATCAGATCCCAGTGTTGTATTTACTTATGCAAGATTTAATACATTATATAATATCGTAACGAATTAAGTGAGACTGAGACTAATGTTTTCCACAAATCGACGAATAAATTGGCAGAACTAACTAGATTTCAACAAAAAGTAATCGTACGAACACTCGTATGTAAATTTATTTTAGGGATAAGGGGATAAGTTGTAGATCCTTGTGTCATGCACACAATCAGTCGTAGAGGACAGACTGACTTTTCAGAGAATTAGGTTTTAAAGCCAATCAATCCTATAATCAATACTAGATCTGGTATTTATATAATTTGTATTTTGGTATGCTATGCTTCGAATGTGGTGTGTCCGTGAAATTGATTTGTTGATAACAACTAACTAGAAATGTCTAAACCTTTGTTTCGTGGAAGAAAAGCTTCGTCCAAAGAAGTTACTTTTTTATTTGCACAGATGGTCGTTAAAATAAGAATGACGTCGTTGACAAAGTTAGTATACTTTATTTTCTGCAACCTCCGTCGCAGTTGCATCCAAACACATTACAGGGGCCATAGCCACAATAAAATGTTGTGTAAGTTCCATCATTACATACGTTCATTTTTCTATTTAGTGACAAGATGAACCTATTTTTCGGATAGCAGCACGTAAGCCTGGGTTTTTTTTCGCCTCTACAGCCGCCGTCACAATTACATCCAAAGATATTACACTTGCCATACGCGCAATAGCTTCCTTTGGCACGCGAACCATCCGAGCAACGCCCATTACTCCTGGCATGGCAGCAGTAGGCGGTCACACCGCCAATGAGAACTAAAAGCAGTAGTACAGTCAAAGAATTCATAGTCTGATCTATGCGATTGCGATGGTTTTACTATTGGGTTGGATGATACTATACTTTCGCAAATCGTTTTGAAATCTACTATATATAGGTTTTATCTAATTTGGTGTGTTACGCTTCTAATGTGGTGTGTCCATGAAATTGGTGATTTTTTTTATTTTCGCTTACATAACCCACACAACCCTTCACGCACTTCGCCCCATTAACACATCATAATTATACCCGTACTCAAAAAAGGGTTAAGGGGTATTTTAGATTTGTGGTAAAAGTGGATGTGTGTAACGCAGAGAAGGAAACGTTTCCGACCCCATAAAGCATATATATTCTTCATCAGCATCAATATCCGAGTCGATATAGCCATGTCCGTCTGTCCGTCTCGATGATCTCTTAGATCTCAGAGACAATGAGAGTTAGGGCAATCAAATTTGGTTTCCAGACTCATGTGATATCCACTGCTACAAGTGTATTTCAAAATTTCTCCCGCCCCCTTCCGCCCCACAAAGGACGAAAATCTGTGGCAGGCACAATTTTAAAGATACGATAAAACTGAAGAAAACAATTTTCAGTTGCTTCCCCACCTCCTCCAGCCAGAGACCACGCTAGTCATTGTCCTTCTCGCTCGCACACTCTGCCTCGTTCAGTGCGCGAGTGCCCGCTAGCGGAGGAGATGTAGAATATACATTGTGGATGTATTTGTAGATAGCATATGTATTCTAAAATTCCAAAAAATCATATGCCCAAAAATGTGTATATACTGACTGAGTACGGGTATAAGAAGAGTCGCGTCCCCAGAAGCGACTCACACGTTCCTTCTTGTTATTTATGCCTTTGATACTGTCATCCGTGTAATGTTAGTGGAAGGAGTTATTACTACAGCAGTGACATTTCGCCTTCTGCTATCTCTTAGGCAACTTAGGCACACACTCCTTAACCTCTTCGAGTACTGGGTAAAAAAAAAAATTAAAGTGCGGATACACTAACAAAATGGCAGAGACGCTCCTCAAAAAAAGAACTCCGAAAGCACTTTATTTTAGTCGAATTCCCTTATGACAGCCAGCTCGCTGTCTGCCCGCCCTCACTCGCTATATTTCTACAGGGCTATGTCTTGGTTAACCTAGTGGCCCGGCTATTATCTTTATCAGATTTCGGAGAATCCTTTTTGGTGGGACGACTCTTCGGTTGCCTGTTTTGATTCTTTTGTTGTTTCTTTTCGTTCGCTTTCTTCTTGGCAATGTCCAGAAATACATCTTCCAGCGACGGCTGCGTCAGAGAGTAGTCCACCACCTTCCAAGGGCTGCGATTTCTCTCAACGTATGAGAACACCCTCGACCATCTCATTTTGGCAATGGGTATGTGGTAAGTGAGCCTGCCACCAAACTCTTCCCTGAATGAGCAGTCATTACGAGTGAGGTGAGTATGTTTGGCTGGTCTGAAATGCAACTTACTCTAGCGATGCCGTGGGAAAGTCCGATTCCATTTGATTCTTTACCTTCAGTACCGTGTACGCCATGCTGTGTGGGTGGGTGGGTTTCGTGGGGTTATCTCTTTACGATCTGGAGGTCGAATACACTTTAAATGGGCTGGTCTCACCTTTCCAGACTTCCGGTATCCACATGTAACTTGAGCACCAGACACTGGGCAAACTTATTCTTGATGCGCTGCTGGGATCCCAGGCAATGAATTTGCCCATCCACCATAATGGCCAACTGCGTGCAGAGGGCCTCCACCTCCTCCATGCTATGAGAGCTGAGCAGCACCGCCTTCCCCTTGTCCCGCAGCGAGGAGAGGACATTCCACACATGGCGCCGGGAGGCCGGATCGACCCCAGAACTGGGCTCGTCCAGACAAATGAGCGATGAGCCCTCACCGGCCACCGCTGCGTTTAACTTTCGCTTAGTGCCGCCACTGTAGTCCTTGACCTTTTTGTCGAGGTGCGCAAAAAAGCCAAAGTCGGTGGCCAGCTTTTCCGAGACTTTTTTGAGGAGATTCCGGCGTGTGCCGCGCAGCAAAAGGAAGATCCTGAGTGTTTGACGGCCTGTGCAGAAGTCGAAGAGCGTGTCGTGCTGGGGACAGTAGCCGATATGCCGCCTCGCTGCGATGGGGCGGAATTTCATGCTGCAGCCTCTGACGTGAATACTCCCCATCGTCATGGCAATGTCGCCCACAATCATCTTGAAGGTAGTCGTTTTACCGGCCCCGTTGGCACCCAGCAGACCAAAGCACACGCCCCTGCAGTAAATTGGGGATTGGCTTTTAAGTAATTGTTATTGCTGCACTTGAATGACTACTCACGACTGGACAGCGAAGGATATTCCACGTACGGCAGCCATGCAGCAGTATCTCTTTGAGACCCGGCTCAGGACTAAAGCATGCTCCTTGCGATCCTCGCTCGACATTTTACTTATCCTTTCGGCCGCAGCAGTCACGTCTTCATCTTCATAATTGATTGTTGCATTTTGTTTACAAAAACGACCAAAATATTTATATATATATACAACAATATACCACAACGTGGTACTGTATTCGCCGAAAATCAGCCACAACAAGTAGCAACTACCAGAAATAAGCATATACCTCACCTCCACCCAATCCAGAATGTCTGTAAGAAAAAAAGCAAACATATAAATGTGAGAAGGCTGGGTCGCGCACACAAGTGCAGACCTCCCAGAGAGAGCTGAGAGCAGGGAGAGTAAAGAGGAGATCGCGAGAACGTCAGCCGACGCCGCTCAGAGGCCTCTCGCCAGTCCGTAGTCAGTCGTCGTTTTCGTCAGTCGTAAATAAAATCAGTCGTACTTAAATCAGTTGTCTTTCGCTTATAAAAACATATCTAACAAAGCTGTATCCATTACTTATATATCTCGTTAATAAACATACATTTAAATACAACCTTTCACATTTGGGGGCTCGTCCTGTTTTGAATGAGCGGTTAGTAATGATAAGTGAAAAAGTTGCCTAAAGTGGATGGAGCATTTTATTGTGATTTCAAAAAAAAAAAAAAAAAAGAAGAAAAGTCGTAAAGTTGTACAGTCGAACAGTTGTGAAATTACAGTATTTGCCCAAAAAGCGAAAAATTATTCGAAATTCAAATTTTGTGTTGCGGCGTGCATACACATACGAAAGAACAGAAAAGGAGCGAAAAATAGTTCGATCAACCTCGTTATTTTCGGGGGTTGTTTTGTGTCGGTGCGTAATATACATACGATCGTCGAAAAGTAACGAAAGAGAACAGTTCGGTTCGCTTGCTCGCTGTTTTGTCTGCTCGTAATACACACACGAACACAGACATTCGGAAAAGAAGAACGAAAGAGAACGGCTCGGTCGACGTCGTTGTTGTGGGTACTCGTTGTGTCGGTTCGCAAGAAAAAAGAAAAGAACAGCTCGGTCGCGTCGCTCGCAATACATACACAAACGTAAAATAAAAAGGAAAATGCCGAGAACCAGACGTACGCCGTCGAAAAAAATCAACGAAGTGGAAACAAGAATCGAAAAGGAGAATCTGCTGCTGCTAGATGAAAATTTGTCCGAGACGGAGCTAGATCGCGAAACCGGGCTGATTCCAGAGGAAAACAAGGTAGCAATGGCTGAGGGAAGCGTGGCAAACATCGACGCCAGGGTGCAACAAATGATGCAACTGTTAACCCTGAAAATAGAGGTAGATGAACGCAGAGATAATCAAGTGAAAATATCGGCGAGTAATTTCGAGAAAATTCTGAGCGACTTCGATGGATACTCTATCCCTGTGCAACAGTGGTTCGACATTTTCGAGAATAATGCGGAGGCTTACGAACTGTCGGATAAACAAAAATATGTTCAGGCCCGAGGCAAGATGTGTGGCGCTGCTAAGCTTTTTTTGGAATCCGAGTGCGTGTCTAATTTTGACGATCTGAAAGACAGATTAATAAGCGAATTCGAAAAGAGTACAAATAGTGCGGATATTCACCAAATGTTGAGAAATCGTAAAATGCTGAAGTCGGAGACATTCCATGAGTATATGCTAAGCATGAAAAAGTTGGCAAGCGTCGGCAGTGTTGAAGAGGAAGCAGTATTGCGCTATATCGTAGACGGGTTGCAAATAAAAAACGAGTTTAAAATCGCGATGCATCGGTGCCGGTCGTATAAAGCCCTTAAGGAAGAGTATGCCATTTACGAGCTAGTTCAAGGAAAACCCAGCGATGAA